CTTTCCCCCTTGCCTGTTTAGTAAGTGTCCTTGAGAACAAAGAAGGTGGGAATGTTAGAGGGAGGCACAAAGGGAGTGATTACGTTAGGGGTTATGACTAATCAGGCATGCTCCCTTTGGGAAAGGGTGGGGAATGTCTTCCACAACAGGAAGGAACAAAGGGATTGGGGTGTTTCATTTGTACCTCCTTGTGTGCCAACAGATAGAGGTTACCACTGTTTGGAGATGGCACCTTCTTTGGCTAGGATGCTGTGACTGAAAGTCAATGAGGGGAGATGCAATCACAGTGAACAGAGGCCCCCCATGGCTTCTTCAGTGGCACAGTGGAAAGGTCCTTGTCCCCAATTCTTCTCATAGCCAAGAACAAAGATTTATAGTGAGACTTGAAGGAGGCTCTCTACCTGTAAGTGTGATGAAATAAGAGGTCAAATTGCTTCTGTAGTTGGATCATTAAGAATGGTGGAACTAGTGTTGTAAAATGTCTCATAAAGAGGAGATCTCTCTCAGTCACCTGGTTTTCTTTCTTTCTTTCTGTTTTTTTTTTTTTTTTTTTTTTTTTTTTTTTTTTTTTTTTTTACTGTTGTTGTTTGTTTTCTGAGACAGAATCTCACCCGGTTGCCAGGCTCCAGGCTGGAGTGCAGTGGCAAGATCTTGGCTCACTGCAACCTCCACCTCCCAGGTTCAAGCAATTCTCCTGTCTCAGCCTCCTGAGTAGCTGAGACTACAGGCACACGCCACCACGCCCAGCTAATTTTTTGTATTTTAGTAGAGACGGGGTTTCCCCATGTTGGCCAGGATGGTCTCATCTCTTGACCTCATAATCCAGCCGCCTCGGCCTCCCAAAGTGCTGGGATTACAGGCTTGAGCCACCACGCCCGGCAGTCACTTGATTTTCTTGATCGACATTCACTCTTCTATGGATACTAATTGCCACATAGCAAAAATAACTCATATTCTCCCCCCTACCCTTTGTTCCCAATTTGGTGCAATGCATTATTCAACTAAGGCAAGGAGATGAGTAGCACTACTAACATTGGCTTCTAAAGAATTACTAGACTTAAAACAACAACAACAAACAACAACAACAACAACAACAACAAAAACTAGCCTGGGCGTGGCGGCTCCCGCCTGTAATCCCAGCACTTTGGGAGGCAGAGGTGGGCAGATTACTACAGGTTAGGAATTCAAGACCAGCCTGGCCAATATGGTAAAGCTCCCTCTCTACTAAAAATACAAAAATTAGCCAGTCGTGGTGGTGGGCGCCTGTAATGCCAGTTCCTCAGGAGGCTGAGTCAGGAGAATTGCTTGAATCCAGGAGGCGGAGGTTGCAGTGAGCTGATGTTGTGCCACTGTACTCCAGCCTGGGTGACAGAGTGAGACTCCATCTGAAAAAAAGAACAACAACAGAAAACAAAACAAAACCCAATAACAACAATCATACCAAAAAACAAGAACCGAATACATTTCTGTGTCTTTTGAATGTTGGTTTAGCTTATAGTCCTCCAAACATAGGTATTCACAGAATAAGAGTTGAGTGGCACAGCTGACCCAGCTGGCCCATGACAAAGCTCTGAGGAGTTTTCGTTTTTAGCTACTTAACTTTGTCAAAATCTGGGGTTGTAAACTTTCCAATCTCAAAGGTATGAATACTCTAAATGATGTCTCAAAACAAAAGCCCACAAAATGGAGTTTCTAGGTGGGACAGGCCTCTGCATTCAGGCACAGCATGATAGTACGCCAGGCGGATGCCCAGTGCTCCCCGGCATTCGTGTGACTCTGGGAAATGCCCAGTGACCTCTCCCCAGGTCACACTCACCCCAGCTGAAGCAGGCCCCTGGCTAACAGTGCCCACTCTACATTACCTAACCTTTGCCCCGTCAACTAGGAGCAGGGACAAGAGAGGCAAGGGTCTGTGGAATATGCAAGATTGACAGGAAATGATGTCTAGTAGCTTTTTTAAAAAGTCTGAACACCAACATGTGCCACACAGTGGCCACCTTCAGTGCAGTGTGGAAAAACAAAATCCTTGAAAAAAAGGGTTTATTGTCAATCAGCTTCAGGAAAAGCTGAATTATGGAGTTAAATTAGCGACTTTATTGAAGCCTTCTCAAAAGTTTTTAATAGTGGGCAGGCACAGTGGCTCATGCCTGTAATCCCAGCACTTTGGAAGGCCAAGGTGAGAGGATCACTGGAGGCTAGGAATTAAAGACTAGCCTGGACAACAAAACAAGACCCTGTCTTCTCTACCAAACAAACCAACAAATAAAAAGATAAAAAGTTTTTAACAGCTAATATCAGTTGTATGAAGCTTTACCCCAACTTAAATGAACTTGGGAGTCTGCTGTAAATTCTAGCATATTCCATCCCAAAAAACACATTTCCTCATTTGGGGACCCCTAGACCAGGGGTCTAGTGGAAAGATGATGAAAGTTGAAGTCAGGAGGGCTAGTTTCCAGGTCCTAGGTAATAGCTTTGAACCCACAGCGTCTGGGCAGATAAACATTGCAATAATGGAAGCATAAACGAAGTCTAAAGTACCTTCTAATGTGGCATAGTCATGAATGTTCCTAACAATCCCCTTAGAATATCTTCCTGCCTACAAATTAAAAATAGACTGAGCTTGAGCAAAGCCCCCAGGACACTAATGGCTTCCTGATCTACAGCAGCTCCAGGAGGCCGTGGCACTCAATACCATTTGCATTTTCTTTTTTGGCAGCAAATTATGTGAAATCCATAGCTCCTGCCTGGTTGTGTCCAATCCTGCCTGCTCCTCAGAAAGATGTGCCAGCAGGGAGGGGAATATCACACACTGGGGCCTGTTGTGGGGTGGGGGCTAGGGAAGGGATAGCAGGAGGGTGGGGGGATTGGGGAGGGATAGCATTAGGAGAAATACCTAATGTAGATGACCAGGTGATGGATGGCACGTGTATACCTATGCAACAAACCTGTACGTTCTGCTACCCTAGAACTAAAAGTATAATAAAAAATACATTAAAATGAACAAAAAAGAGGATGTGTCAGGAGTCCCAGCTGGGCCAGTCATAGGGGTCTAGGCCTCACTCAAAAGCCTGTTAGGTTCTAGGACGTGAGGCCAATGACTAGAGACCCCTTCTTTACCGCCTTCCTTTTCCACCCTCCCAGGCCAGAAGGCTCCATCTTTGAAATTTTCTTCGTGTTCCCTTGGTAATCCCAAGGAATTGCTATTTAAAATCCTTTAGAAATATACTAGTAAATATAAAAAAGAAGTCTCTCTGTCCCAGCCCATCTGGCGGCCCCCTGGTATAACTGCCTAATATAAACCTGCCTGAGATAGTCCACAAGCATAGTGCTCAGTTCCTGCCAAGCAGTACCTCAGGCTCATTTCACAGCTGTTCTTCAGAATGGCTCAAAATCTCTCAATCAATTCCCTTGGAACCACAGAGCTAAGACAAGGTTGGTGCATGGCACTTGACTTATCTGAGAAAAATAAGGAAGCTATTATTATCCTTGGTCTTTGGACACAATCATGATTTAACAGTAAATACTGATGTTTTGAAATCCATAGTGCCACCTCTGCAACTCGGGGGTGCGCAACAAAGTCAGGGGATACAGATGACACAAACACAAGCATCTGCTTCCATTTTATTAAAAAAACAAAACCAAATGAAATTTTGCCGTGAAATTTCCTGGAATTCACAATCCTCATTTTAAAACCTTTATAGTTGCAATATATATATTTTAGCCAGTATGTAAGAACACGATTGCACTTATTTACATAATAGTCTCCTATATAACAAAAATAGCCATGTTGTAATGATTGAATGTTTCCAACTATCATCCTTATTTCATCACTAGCCCATTATGAGACAAACTGATTATGCTCTCCAAGTACATAGAGAATATAATAAAAGCTAAATAAAAGTCTGTGTCTCCTAATAGAAGACAAATTCCTTTAAAGACAGCTTTTTTTTTTTTTTTTTTTTTCAACTTCTTTGTATTTCAAGAGAGATATAAAGTGCTTTGAAAGGAGCAGGGAAGGTGCCTGACATGGGGAAGAAGGAAATAAATTTATACAGAAAAAATTAAACAACTATACTGCCTTAACTAATCATCTATATATGCACACAACTTTGTACAGTAGATGAGGTTTGGGTAAAACGGCTACATAATCCACTAGTACTTATTTCGGCAATTAAGAACTAACTAAAGCCCAAATTAAAGACTTCCCATGCAAATGTCATCAGGAGTGAGTTTTTGTGATTTTGGGTCAGATGGCATATGAATTAAGGAAGCTCAGACACACAGTCTGAATATGGAGAGGACAGGCAACGCCAAGATGGGATGATCGTCTGCGACCTGCAGACTAGCCAGAAAGACCTTGTGGGGAAGCTAATAGACTTTACTTCGACATCAATCATTTTACAACAGAAGCATTTTGTTGGAAGCATTTGTTTATAATAAAAGTAATTTGTGTTAGGATAGAAAAAAGAGCCATTGGAATTTCCTCTTGCTGGTAGGGAGGAAGATTGATTTAAAGATGGATTTATGATGTCATGTCTGATTATTTATAATTACAGATTCATTATTTGCAGATTTTTTTTCTAGTGGGAAATGATGTGCTGTACAAAATAGTTAAAATAAGTTGTTTCTTTTTCACATTTTTACAACTGGCAATTGCTGGTTATGGTCTGCAGTCTACAAAACTGGGTGTCACATATGTACTGCTTGAGAGGTTCCCCTAAAACCAGAATAATCATCCTCCCAGCTCATGAACATTTTAAAAAACAATACTCATTTTTTGTTTCCAGAAAATGGATGGAATGTAACTTTTCACAAATACAAAATTACTTCATTTTCTAAATGTAAGGGATACCTGTCTATAAAAATAACAGTCCCTCCCCACGCCCACCCCTACATCTCTTTCTAATTATAAAATGGTAGAATCATCTCAGATTACTAATATTAAAGCAGGAAGTAAATATATTATGTACATATACAAAACACATCAGTATTTCACACCATTTACATTCATATGAAAGAAGTCCTTTTATTGATCTTCCTTTGAAATTTCACAAGAATAAAGTTGAGATAAGTTACAAAACAAGCAGCTTCTTGCTTATAACTGCACAAACATTCTTGCCAGAGGCATCTTCTTTGCAAACAGAGCAACATTATCCTCCAGCATTTTGCAGGAGGGCTGTCGACACTGAGACGATCTGTGGGGTCTCCTTCAACTTTTTAGAGTTCGTGACATTGTTTCCTCATTTGATAAACATAGACCAAATTCTCAACTACCAAAGAAATTGTATGATGAAAGGCAAATAACTGGTTGTTGAATTCGTGACCCAAGTCAAAGTAACTTGCTGAAAGAATAATTGCGATTATTCCAGCAGAGGGCACTCTGCCCCTCGCAATAACGTCCTACTGAACAGTAAGTACCATCGACGCCAACACAAATTCAGAAGGAAAAGTCCATGTATGTGTTAGTTCTTCAGCTGCTCTATTATACCCATTAGTACAGGCAACAGTTTGGTATCTTCTTCAAAAGAGCAGGATATACTATATTTAGCTAGCTCTTATACATGAAAATTCTTTGGCTATTTAAAATCTTCACATTCTCAAAGAGAACAATATTCTGAGTTCAGTAAAGCGCTAGATTTGTTGGAAAGTTCTGAAGGAAAAGGGACTAAACACTAGACTTTAAAGATGGTGTGGTACGAAGGCCACAATTCAATTTTTAGATTTCAGGATTTAGTAAGGTCAATCAACAGTCTGCAAGAGAAAGCCCCATAAGGTTTAATGGTTTCATTCAACCATGCCACCCACCTTCACCTTCATTTATGAGAACATTAGGAGAAAATTCAACTAGTCAATGGAAGAAACATGTGTTCATTTGGACGGTGATCAGTCTTTGGTTTATACAGCACACATGGTCCCCACATTTTCCCTGCTTCTCCAAAACTGTCACTTCACTAAGAGACCACAGATATTCTGCCAAGCAATGACTTCCAGTAATTCAGATTAAGCAAAATTTTCTAAAGATTTTTCTCCCTCACTGTATTTAGACATTGCAGACCTCTTAAGAGATGTGTGTATTTTTGTCTTATCATTATCATCAGCAAATATTTATCAGGTGGCCATAGAGCAAATGGCTCTGTATAAGTGTAAACGTCAGTAGTAGCACAGGATTAGAAGACCTTTGATCACTGAAATTCCTGAAAAAGCCACTTATGAAGCACTCAAGGCAGTAAAGAGAGATGTGACTGACCTCAGCGGGTTCTTGTAGAACAAACGGGATTGCAATCAAATGGCTCGATATTAAGGGGCCAGCCACGTCTAACATCTGGACTTGCTTTATTAGTTCTAGGATGATAATTTAGTGTCAATAAAAGGTGCAGAGTGGAAGAATGTGGCTATTGATCTGTGGGTCTTTAAAAATTAATGTTGCTATTACACGGGGTCTGGGGTTGAGTGAGGACAAAAGGAGGGGAGAGGAAGAGCTAAGAGATGATGAGACACTCATATTAGTGTCTTAGAATTAGTCTATGTTCTTTAGGCAATCCCGACCTTCTTTGCAATCATGAGTATTTTAACTTATGAGTATTTAATTCCTTAAAAACATGACCCTCCCCCGCAAACCCCAGGTCAGCTCTAAACCTAGGGATGAGCATTTATTTGGGGACAGCATGCACATTTTGTTAGGCACAGCCCTGCTTTCACCAGCTCCCTAAACAGAGTGACACTCCCATCCCACTGTAACTGCCGACCTCAAATGTACTCATCTATGCAATGGCATGGATGCAGGATCTCGGTGGCCAAGAGCACTGCATGAAGAACCATGCATCCCCACCTTAGGAAGGTAGTCTCTCTGTGTCTCTTTGTCAGTGTTCAGGATAGTGGCCCTCAGATCACTTATGATGAGCAAGCTAAGATGTTAGGAAGCATGGGCGTCCCATCAGATGCAGTATACACGTTTTTCCAAGAAATCCTAACTTTGAGGAAGGTCACAAGTGCTGAGAACGGGAGAAAGCAGAAATAGACAGCATTCTGGAATTGTTGCTTTGCCATTATTTGCCTAGAAAACATTTATGGCAAGGAAGGCTGAAAAAAATGGAAATAGTTGTAAGATGGGTTGAGATACAAGTGGTGTTATAAGAAGTGAAAATGAAACTGACTCCATGAAGGGAGGACATTGGTTTATGGTGAGCTGGTTTGTCTCATCAGAAGTGGCTATAGATACTGCCACACAATAAAAAGAAGAAAAACACCAACAATAGTAACAATGGTAATCATGATAATGAGAAGAACTCTGTGGGTAAAGAACCTCCAGTTTTTTTGTCCTGAAGGTTATTTTGGAATTTCTTGCAAGAGAGAAAACATATTAGAAAAAAAAAGGAGGAGAGAGAAGAGGGGGAAATAATTTATGTATGTGTATGTAAAGAAAGGTATAGGCAGTCAGAGAAAAATGGATACAGACAGAAAAGGAAAAGAACTCTAAGTGAGAGAATATATAAAGGTGCTACTAGAAATTGCCTCAGCGGCCTTAGTACCAGAAAAGACTGCCCTGGCTTCACAGAGGGAGTGACTCCACATGCCAGATTTTTTAAAAAAGTTTTGATTCAAGGATTTTTCTTTAAAGTCAGGGTGATACATTCAATGGATAATTAAAGGTCATTTAATTTTTTATACTCTGCAAAAATATCCATCTAAACAAAACTCATAAATAAGAAAGAACCCTAAGTTAGATCACTGGCATCAGTTTTTATTTTGAGAGTACGTAGCCTCAAGGATGTCAGGGCAGTAACTGAAATGGCAGTAACTGAAATAGCCACTGGGCATGGTGATTTTTGAAATGATCAAACCCAGATCTATGAATTTCCAGGATATTTCACCAGGATGAAGGAAATGTTAAAAACAAGAAAACAAAACAAAACAAATGAATGTTTTTGGACAGAGCTTTGCCTCCATGATTCTAATCATTACCATGTGATGTCAAAAATGGGTAGTACCTTTGCCACTTTTAATTTTGTACCTTCTCCAGAGTGTACTTCTCCCTGCGTAGATGACCAGAGGTGACATTCCAGGGAATATCAAACCCTAGAGATTACGTCAATGTTCAAAAGCTGTATTCATAGTCAGGGCTCAGCTCTTCCGAAGGGACTAGCCACACAGGACATAGCAATTCCTAAAGGTAACCCTACATGATTTTGAGAGAATGTAAATGCTCCTTTTCTTCCCCATAGTGTTGGGGTGGCAGGTGGATGCTGGCTTGGAGTAAAATGCTGGCTGTTGGAGGTGGACATAACACACCAAGCAGAGGCTGGATGGTCACAGGCCCCTAAAGATTCTTTTTCAATAAGGCCACATAAAGTCTTGCATTTGGAGTCAATATGTAATTTCTCATTCTTTCCTCCCAAGTTCATGAGTTTTCACTACAGCTGTGGGACTAGGAGACACCGGGAAAGGACCTCTGTCAACCATGAAGAAGAAGAAGAAGGGGTTGAGGTAACGTTGGGTAATTTCAGTCTGGAGTTCTCTTTGGCTCCTAAGTGCCACATATCCGTCTAAAGGTTTGCCATAGACGTGAGGGGGTATAATTTTGTTTCAGCACCAAATCAGCATGGTTTGTGTGACTTTTAAATAACAACTTGTCAGAGAAGTAACAACAGATGGTCATGGACATCAATGATATGGTCAGAAAGCTCAAGCAGAAATTTTAAAAAGGGTTGCCTGAATCTTTATTCACTGCAAAATAAATGGACCTCTGGGCCTCTCATTAGGCCACTTGGGTGGTATCCAGTTCTCCCTGGAGGTAATTAAGGTTTTAACCTTCTTTTCTTCTGTAAGGGCCAGGGGATCTCATGAGAATACTGGAGGAACTCTAGACCTGCACTGTCCAATTGGCAGCCACTAGCCACATGTCACTATCCAAACTGAAAGGTGCTGTGAGTGTAAAAGACACAATGGATTTAGAGGTAAAAGAAAAAGCAGGTAAAACGTGTCATTAATTTACGTTAGTGACATGTTAAAACAATATTAGGTTAAAGTACATAATTAAAATTATCTTTACCTGTTTCTTTTTACACTTTAAAATGTAGCTAGTAGAAATTTTAAAATCATGTCTGTGACTTGCATTATGTTTCTGCGGGACAGTGCTAATCTAGACTCTTGCTATAGAAAAATGCATATCTTAAAATACATACAGTTTGCATTTGCTTCTAGAGGGTATATATACCCTCTGATACTCATCTTTAGACTACTGGGTCTTCATGTCAGAGTTTCTTCTTTTGGGGAGATAAAGAAGGCTATGAGGAAGGACTGTTGCCCTTTCTTTTGAAAGGGAAACTTTCTGGTTAAGTTTTTATTTTTTTTCTTAAACTATCAAAGCTACAGGAAAATCCTCCAGAAACAAACCTTTGGTAAGTCGTGAATGGCAAAGGCTCAGGGGTTTGCAGCAGGACCTCCTTGTGGTCAGATCCACAAGCCTTGGGTTGGCCTTTCAGACCCCTCATTGTCTATGAGGCATCCTGTAAGGGCAGCTGTGGCCAGGGCTTGCATATGCAATTAATTCCTGATTCACCTAGTTCTTGGCAGGAAGAGAAAATACTCGTTAATCAGAGGAGTTAACAATTCAAAGCACATTTTCTCTCTGGGAATGGAATACAAGTTTTATTTCTGTTGCTGTTGAATTATTCTTCTAATTCCACTGGACTAACGTTAACGCCAGTAATACTAAAATTTGTTTTGGGCAAAGCTGACTGAAGGAGGAGTAAGTCTATGCTGATTGTGAAAAATAAACACCTTTGAGGTCAAGTGAGAGCTAGGATTTGAAGGTATCCAGAGATCACAATCTCTGTGACTAACAGCAATTTTTAAACAAGGCAAAACAAACCAACTCCTAATTAGACTTAAAACGTCAATCATTTAGATTTTCATTCTCAACAACATAGTTGTGCCAAGTCTCAAAGGCTATTATTACATGTTACATGTCAAGTAACTCTACCTCCTTAAGCTATGAAGCCTGATTGCCACAAGTCATAGCTATCTGCAAGAATGGATTCTGCCTGTGAAAGGCTCATCAGTGGTCCTACAGCCAGAGGAGCGTGGGGAGTCATGTTGTTAAGCCCTTCACTTTATATATGGAGAAGCCAGGGCTTAGTAAGCATGTGGTTCATCAAGGATTCTTGATTCAGAGCTCTCTTCATTCCTCCCTGCCTCTTTTCCTACTCATGGGGGGTGGATTTCATTACAGGAAGCGCTGGACTCTTAGGGAGATGTGACCTTTCTGAAGGTAATAATCATTTTCTTTGCCTTACTGTCTACTTATAAACCATCAAATAGGAAATTGGTGAAGGTGGTGAAAAAAGAGCAGCTAGTGTTCTCCCTTGACCTGCACTCCATGTTTCAGCAGGCTGCAAGGATTTACAGCAGAACCAAACTCTTTTTGAATGAGTATTAGTCTAATGAGGTGGAAAAGCCCCCATCAATACGTGAAAACAACTCATTGAGAAAAGCTTTCTTTCCTAGTTAATCCAAGCTGTGGCCTGATCTTTGCCAGCTGCTAGAGATAAGGTGATCCGTCTGATTGTTCAGGGACACTATCGAGGACTTTAGTCATTTCTGTATCTGGATAGTCTCCATGTATTACAAAATTGCCCACTGAAAAAATAGCACATTTCTGTCATAGTTACAAAAAATGAATAAAAACAGAAACAGTTTAAAAACACTGTTGGGTTTCAGTATGTACTTGATGCCTCTTTTCCTTTCCCTCTCACTTTGTCTAGTTCAGTCAGGATAAACTTGATCTAGCAAATTCTCATGCTGCATACTTTTTGGTTCAAATGATACAGCAAATCACACTTCCTTCCTCACTTGGTATTTGGACACACTCAGGGATCCCTGGGAAGCAATCTGCTAGGGATTCACCTAAATCCTTCCACATGGTCTGGTGAGATTCCACAGAAGTATGCTGAAATTAAGGTAAAAGCTGGGTGCTACTGCAGCCCCGGCTGTGTTTGCCACTGGACTTAAACATGATTGGCTTTTCTCTAGAGCCTCCATCTTTTACAGAACCCACTGACAGAAGTAAGAAAAAAACTGTTCTAGCCCAGGGGAAACCAATGCAATGGGCATTTTGCCTTCAATGGGAAGAATATGCAGTATCTGGTTTTAAAATCAGCCTTACAACTGCCAAAGACTGGATGCCTTGGAGGGGACTTCCGAGTTCAGAATTTCAGCCAAAGACTGTAAGACCCAGATGAATGGAACAGCTTCCCTGGAGCCCTTCTCATGTCATGTGGGCCCTTAATCAAGCCCGGCCAGTGGAAGCCAGTGTGACGTGGCTTAAAATAACCAGCAGTGACCTCAGCAGATTTAGAGCTTAATGTTGGGGTCTCTGGCAGCTGGGATTTTTAAAGGCCCACTTAGAAGAACTTAGATTCTTAATGAAAGCGGGCCTTAGTCCATTTCAGGATGCTGAGGCACTTCTCAAAGCCATGCACACTTCATGCCGAGAGGTCAAGACCATACATCTCAGAGATGGAATACAAACTGATCATAGCAGGAACTGGTGCCTCTAAACAGAAATCTATATAAAAGTGGAGTGAATCAAAGGAAAAACAAAGGAATAGATGGAAACTAAACTACAAATAATCTTTAAAAAGAAATTGCCAAAGAAATCAAAAAACCATGCCAAAAACAAGAATGGTAAGACATAGAAAGAACTGAAACTAAGAAATCCTAAAGGTGTCCTTTCAGTCTCTGTTTTAGGAGCTTCTGAAGTGTATGTCTACATGGACATGGGAGCAGAAATCAGCTTTCAACTTCCCAGCTGCCAAGGCCACAGACTGCTGTCCAGATGGAGAAACTGTAACCTGATTGACAAGACTTTGGATATTGCTTTTCGTCAGCATTCTTGAATGGAGCACCCCGGAGTTGCCAAGGTGATCTGGAGGTCTGTGTGTGCCTGGTCCAAGTCTTGGAGCACTCCTCCCTTCCTTCCCCTTGGGTCCTACTATCTCTTTCTTCTGGTTTTGTCATTTCAAGATTTCACCTCTTCACAGTCCTGGTCAGTGGAAAGTTCTACATCAGACAGTCCAACCTCCATTGCCATGATCAAGGAGATGTCAGAATCGCTGCTTACAGCTGGCTCTTGCTCACCTGGGAGAAGAAAGCAAAGTTCACAGTGAACACTGAGCTATGTCTTTGCAAGCTGGTTATTTCAGTACAATTGCCTATAATAATATTCTTTTTAAAGGCCAAGAGACGGTATTAGAAAAATTGGGTATTCTGTAAAACTCTAGTTAAGGCCTTATCTCACATGGGTCAAAAAGCTAAATGCAAACAAAAGAAACTAGAGGCATAAAATATGTTATCTAAGGATATGTCTAAGTAGGAAAATATATAAGTAGGGCAAGAAAGTCTATGTAGAAAAGTAATCAGCAATTCACAGAAGAAAAGCTTGTTACATACGCCTAACATTTAAAAATGTTAAACACGTGTAAAATCAAATCAAAAGGCATATCAAACTCAGGAATTTGCAAAAAAATTTCACAGAAGTTTTTATTCTTAACATATAGAAAGCTTTTAAATCAATAAGAAAAACAGTTCAATAGAAAAATGGACAAAGGTTACCATTAATATAAATGAACAATATAAATGATCATTTATATTAATGGTAACCTTTGTCCGTTTTTCTAATGAACAATATAAATGGTCATTTATATTAATGGTAACCATTTATATTGGTCATTTATATTAATGGTAACCTTTGTCCATTACAAATGACCAATAAATATAAGGTAAAAATAAGATATCCTTTTTTTGGTCTATGTAATCTGTACTCTTTAAAAAAAGATAATAGGCTGGGTGTGGTGGCTCATGCCTGTAATCCTAGCACTTTGGGAGGCCAAGGTGGGCGGATCACCTGAGGTAAGGAGTTTGAGACCAGCCTGGCCAACATGGTGAAACCCCATCTTAAAAAAAAAAAAAAGATAATAAAGGCCAAGCATGGTGGCTCATGCTTATAATCCCAGCACTTTGGGAGGCCAACGCGGGTGGATCATGAGGTCAGGAGATTGAGACCATCTTGGCCAACATGGTGAAACCCCGTCTCTACAGAAAAATTAGCTGCGTGTGGTGGTGCATGCCTGTAGTCTCAGCTACTCGGGACGCTAAGGCAGGAGAATGGTTTGAACCCAGGTGGCAGAGATTGCGGTGAGCCGAGATCATGCCACTGCACTCCAGATTTGTGACAGAGTGAGACTGTTTTTTAAAAAAAAGATAATAAGATAATATTACAGTTAAGGATACCCTGAGGTAGGTAGGTACATTGATATATTGCGTATAGAACTGTAAAATTTTCACCCAGTAATTTCATTTCAAGGATGTATTATAGAGAAATAATTTGAGATGCAAAACTATTCAATGAAGCATTATTTACAGTAGCAAAACATTGCAAGTAACTTAAAAGTCCAGCAACAGAGAATATTTGAATAAACTGTATTACTTCTAAAGGACAATCTTGTTATAACCATTAAAATGACGTTTTCAAAGAATTTGTATTTACATGAGAAAATGTTTGCAGTATACTGTTAAGTGAAAACAGAAATATTTAAAGCTTTGTATGCAATGGGGGTCAACAGAGAAAGTTAACTGGAAGCAAGGAAACCAAAAATGCTCACGAGAGTCATCTCTAGTGTTGGGATTTATATTCATTTTCTTTTAACATTTTTTTCCCAGTTCTCTCAAATACTCTGCAATAAACATATATCACTTACTCATTAAAGATATATCTACCATGTCCTTACTGCACACTAAGGATTATGCTTAGAGGCTATGGATATAGGTGAGAGCAAGACAATCCCTATCCTCAAGCAGCTTATTGCCTGGTGGGCAGGTTGACCATTCACTGGGCAATTACAACAGAATGAGATAAGCACCAGGCTGGAATATGTACCAGGTATTACAGGGGTAGGTAAGAGGGCTATGTAACCATATACTGGGTGCAATGTCTAAACTGAATCCTAAAGGATAATCTGTGTTATAGTCAGATGAATAAGAAGAAATAATCCTTTAAGCAATAGCATGTACAGATGGCTGGAGGTGATAGGGAGCTGTGGGCAGGCAGATATCAGAGGGTTTTTAATTTGACTGGAATGCAGAGTCAAGCTAGGGGATATGGATAGCGGAGGCCAGAGAGCTGGGCTGCATAAAGGCAGCTTTAAACCCAAAAGGTCTTGTATTTTCTCTTAATTTGCAGAAAAAAACTATGCAATTGAAAAAATGACAAAAATGTCTAAGTACTGAAGAATAATAATGATATAATACTTTTGTTCTGATAATCTCTAATGTAATTTTTTCATGTTGTGGCACACTTAAGAAAAATACATGAGTTTCATGAAGGACAGTGAATTTCTAAGATGTTTTAAAGGAGACAAATAAAGAGAACTAACAAAGAATGATGGCATGAAAAATCAGTTTTAAAGAAATGGGGTATTTCACAGGGAAATATCCAACTTGAAGACTAAGCTCTAATATGCCTCCTAGATCCATTATTGCAGGAAGTTTGCAGCAATGTAACAACAGATCAATGGTTAAACGAAAACCCTGGAAGCAGCTCTATAAAGACTCAAGTCTTTTATTATTTAAAAACAGTGGCATTCCACAAATAGTCAAGAAAACTAGTCATTTAGAAAAAAGTGAAACTGGATCTGTGCCTCATACTTCACTACAAAATACATTCTAAGCTGGCTATATATAAAATCTCCCATCTTTATTTTTGTGTGTGTGTGTGTGTGTGTGTGTGTATACACCTCTTTTTCATTTATCTTCTCCAGAGCCATCTGGTGCCTCTGATCCATCCGGTGCCTCTGATCCCTGACCTTCCCGGAACTCTCAAGTGCAAATTACGGTGGTTCTCCCTTTCCCCATGGGTGATCGGTGCTTGTTTTCTCAGCAGGGCCGTGGCTTGCTGTTGTGCAGGATGTGCACTGCTCCTCTCCAGAGCACACCTTCACTCTGGAGTCTGAGTGAGCAGTGGCTCTTGAAGTGGAGTAGTGGCTCTTGAATGGAGCCAGATGCAGGGGCTTACTGTTTCTCCAGTCTACCGAGTCATGGACGGTTCATCTGTTTTTTCCAGTTGCTGTAATTGCGTTATTTTCTCTTCTTGCATTTTCCCTATCCATGTCTTCCTCTATCTTAAAAAAAATCCCTTCACTGTAGTTTTTGTGGAATTTTGGGAGAGACTGGGAGTGGATTCACATGGCAGGTCCACTCTTTTTACTCAGTGCTCTCCTTAAACATCATTTTTACAATAAGAACAATATGCATATACTTTATACTTATGAGAACTGGGAATCCACTTTACTTTATGCTATATTCTAGTCTCTGCTGTTAGTAACTGCATGGTGTTACTTTGTATAAATTGCTTTTCTCCTTTAGGGCTAAAGTTTAATTGCCTAGAAAATGAGAATTTGGACTGGACAAATTAGAGTCCTTTCCAGTTGTTGTTTATACAGGCTTATGTGTTGATGCCAATCTAGTACAGGACCTCCTGCATAGTGGGTTCCTGATGAATAATTATTAGATAGAATGACCACTGAGAAACAAAATTGCCCTTTAAAATTTATTATTTATTTATTTATTATACTTTAAGTTCTGGGGCTCATGTGCAGATCGTGCAGGTTTGTCACATGGGTATACACGTGCCATGGTGGTGGTTTGCTGCATCCGTCGTCCTGTCATCTACATTAAATATTTCTCCTAATGCTACCCCTCCCCAATGCCCCCATTCCCTGCTATTCCTCTCCTAGCCCTCCACCCCCAGGTCCTGGTGTGTGATGTTCCCCTCCCTGCGTCCGTGTGTTCTCATTGTTCAGCACCCAGTTATGAGTGAGAACATGTAGTGTTAAAGTTGCCTTTTTTTTTTACAATTCTTCATATTGTTTTCATTTTTTCATTTTTTTCTTAATAAAAAAGCCCTGCTATTGTATATTTAGCACAAGTATGCATGAATGGCAGAATTCCCACTTGGAGGTGTAATGAAAGCTGAGATCTTATTCCTGGAGATAAAAAATGAGACTTCTACTTACAGGGAGTTTAATTTCCACTTCTTTTTTTTTCAGTGGCCCATCAATCAACTCAGCTCATAGAAAGCCAAAATTTTCAGCTCACAGTTAAACTGGAAGTCAACCAAAGAGCTCATCATGGAGTGAAATTTATGGCTTTCATATGGATCCAGCAAAAAAAAAAAAAAAAAAAAAAAAAAAAAAAAAAAAGCACAGATAAAGAGCTGACTTAGTTACAGATCTATAGAGACATAACTCACTGCTACCTACAGTGGCAGCTTCTCACCTTCACTCTGGCTTTGCAACCACCAGCCTCAGAAGATTCCACAGATTCATTCACACCTTGGTGTTTTGTAAATGGGAGTATGTGAACTGAAAGAAAAAGGGGCCACAGGGACTGCTGTAACTATTAGCTGCTGAATTCATGGTGTTACTTTGGAAATTAAGATTGTTCTGTACAGTGCAAGGCAAAGATGAATTCAAATAAATGAAAATAGAGAAATTTGCAAAAATGGTTCAATTTTTATGACATAACATTGCAGCAATATCATCTAATCATTTTCCATTTAAACACTTGTTTTTCGAATAATCTGAGGACATGAAATTATTCTAAGTATGTCCTATGTTTTTAATCAAACTTGGTTTGTTCCATAATTTTTGACAGTGTGTTTATTGTTTAATCAAGGCAGATGTTTTACTTAAAACATGAATGAAAACCTTGTTAGCAAAGTATTTAGAAGGTTCTCTGTAGGTGGTATTAATCGGGGACTATAAGTAGCTATTAACAACATAAATGTTCACTGAATTTGCCTCCTTCTCTGCAAAAACAAACAAAAACTGATGTAAAAGTAATATTAGCCCTCATTTGATACAACAACCCTTTGATGCATATATTTTCATTCTTGTTTTATAGATGAGAAGTACTCATAGTCCATTTGACATAGCAGAATAATATCTATTTGATACACTTTCTTCTCTTGGTTTTCACATATTATATTGAGAGATTTAATCAGGAAGTAATCTGATCCACCTAATATTTTAAGAGGTCACTCTTGCTGTTACATGAAAAATAGATCAGCAGGACACCGGGCA